CATCTCTCTCCCCAGGCATCTCTCTCCCCAGGCATCTCTCTCCCCAGAGCATCTCCCCAGGCATCTCTCTCCCCAGAGCATTTCTCTCCCCAGGCATCTCTCTCCTCAGAGCATCTCTCTCCCCAGAGCATCTCTCTCTCCAGAGCACCTCTGTCCCCAGGCATCTTCCTCTGTGCCAAGGGCAGTGGTTGCTCCGGGATCCCTGGGCGCCAGACCCACATCCTTCTAGTGGTCCCACTAGAAGTGGTCCACTTCTAGTTGTCCCTAGTGTGGACAGCTGGTTTCTGCACTGACACATAAGGTGGAAAGTAGGAAGTGAAATGTGCAGGCACCACTCACTGACCTGTGTTTACTGAACCCCCTTATGTGCTGTGCACAGGGGCTACAGAGTGAGTTGAGCCAGTGTCACTGCCCTAGAGGAGCCCTCAGCTCGGGTGAGGGCAGGTGTCACCATTCAGTGTGATAAGTGCTGGGGCCCACCCATAGGAGAGGCTGGTGTCAGGGAAGGCACTTGAGAAATATAAGGAAAGGTTTGCCAGGAAGGGAACAACATTGTCAGCAAGGGGAACGGCCTATGCAAAGGCCTGGAGGTAGGAGGGAGTAGCAGGTGGTTTTAGTGAAGTGTGTTTACAAGAGGAATGGCAGGAGATGGGATCAAAAGGTCAGCAGGGGCCTGGTGTGCCGTGCTAAGAAGCCGGTGGGAATAAGGGTGCAGGATGAGTGGTGGGGTGTCAGGTGCCCAAGCCAGAGGGCCGGAGGTCACCAGGGAGAAGTTAAGAGCCAACCATGTAGAGATTGCTGCAGTCAGGCTACGCAGGAGCCGGAGCCCGGTCCTGGCCTCTCTCGCAGATGCACATGCTCTGGGCAGGGTCCCACCTCCCCAGACAGATGGGCTTGACAGACTCCTTTGGTGTCAGGGGCAGGGGTACCTGACCTGGGCTTGACGCCCATGCTTCTGTCTGGCACAGGGGCGCTCGGTAATGGATGCCGCAGGACAGCGGTGCCGGGTGGTCAAGCGCAGCTTTGCCTACCCCAGCTTCCTGGAGGAGGATGCGGTCGATGGAGCAGAGACATTCTACTCCTCATTTTTTAGTAAGGCAAGCATGGCGTGTGTGGGCCCTCGGGGTCGGGGGACCGGGGTGGGTGGGAGCCAGGAGAGGTCACCCAGCCTCAGTCATGCTCTGCTGGGAGCCCCTGAGATGTCCAAAGGCCCGTCGGTGGGATGGGGGTGCATCTTTCTGTCGGCAGGGCAAGGACCTGGGGTGAGGAAGGGTGCCAGCCGGGAAAGTCCCCATCAGGGCCCACAAACACGTGCCTTCTACCTCCCTTCCAAAGAGCCTGTCCGGCTTTGTCCTGCCCTTTGATTGAGCTACTGGGGGCAGTGCTGGAGACGGTGACTCCTCACATTGTCTCCTTCTGTGTCCCCGACTCCACACCCACTCCAGGAAGAAATGAGCTCCGTGCCTGATGATGTGTTTGAGTCGCCCCCACTCTCTGCCAGCTACTTCCGGGGCATCCCACGCTCGGCCTCCCCGGTCTCCCCCGAAGAGGTGCAGATCCCTCTGTGAGTTCTGGGCAATCCTCCAGGTGGAGGGAGGTGGCACTGGAGGAAGAGCCCAACGACCCTGCCAGGGGGCTTCCCTAGACCACAGGTCCCTCCGGACCCCCGTCGTGGGATGTGGGAGGGGAGGACACCAGGCTGAGACCACCGTCCTCACCAGGAAGGAGCCTGACCGAGCCCCGGTGCCCGCGGCCAAACGTGGCAAGCGTATCGCATCCAAGGTGAAGCACTTTGCCTTTGACCGGAAGAAGCGGCACTACGGCCTGGGTGTTGTGGGCAACTGGCTGAACCGCAGCTACCGCCGCAGCATCAGTAGCACCGTGCAGCGCCAGCTGGAGAGCTTCGACAGCCACCGGTGAGCCACGCCGGCCTGGGGCCCCGCCCACTCTGTGACAGTGCGGGGAGAGCCACTCCCAGGCGTAGGCCCAGGGGAGAAGGGCTGAGAGCCATCCAGGAGGGCCTGGGAGCTTCCAGGTTCCCCTGGGGCCCCTCCCGAAGCTCCCCTTATTGTTCATCGAGTCTTTGGGTCAGGGGAGCAGGGACGGCCCCTAGGGTCACCCTACAAGCATGCACGTCACCTGGGAAGGGTTGTCGGGTGTTGCTGCCTCTTCTCCACCCTCCCTGCTTTCTGGACCTGCTTCCTCTGCGGGGAGCAGGGCGGGCGGGGTAGGTCAGAGGGGCAGTTAGAAGCTGTGACCACGAGTGAAGGGACTGTGAAGAGGCTTGCACAGAGACCTTGGGGGAAGCCAGAGGATTGGGAAGAGGCCATTCTCAAAGAACGTACAATTAGCAGCAACCTGATAGACATTGGACCCTAAGTTTAAAAAAATTAAGTGATAGCAGGTGTGGTGAGTGTCCTGGAGAAGGAGGACAGAGAGTGGGAGTGAACAACTGGTGGGGGGCAGCGTCGTCAGGAGCAGCAGCAGTTAGCTGGGTGAAGAGAGACGGCAAGGGCATCCCAGGCAAAGGAAGCATCATGGGCAAAGGCCCTGGGGCTGCGGGGATTGGGGTTTGTTCCAGGAACTGCAGGAGGAGAGGAAGGAGGCAGGGAGGTGGGCAGACGTAGCAAGGCCTTGCAACCAGTGGGGAAGGAGCCATGTTAGACTTTATCCCCAGGGCAGCGAGAAGCCATGGAAAGCATTTAAGCTGGGAGAGACGCAGAGAGGTGCATTTTAAGAGTTGCTGTGGAGAAGGATGAGTTGGAGGGGAGTAGTGGAGGATAGGGAGCAGGTGCGAGCTGTTGGCGGCTGGGGCTGAGGGTTGGGATGTGACTTTGGCTCCGCTGACCCGAGGCCTCTGCCCGCAGGCCCTACTTCACCTACTGGCTGACCTTCGTCCACGTCATCATCACACTGCTGGTGATTTGCACGTACGGCATCGCGCCGGTGGGCTTCGCCCAGCACGTCACCACCCAGCTGGTGAGTGGGGCTAGGGAAGGGGGGCTCCGCCCTGGGGATCCTAGCCTCCCCCAAGAGGCGGCAGCATCTTGGGCCACCCAGGCCCTCCCACGGCAACAACCTGGCCCAAGCAGGAGGGTGCTCTGGGCTCACCACTGCTTTGCTTCTCAGCCCCTTCCCCGGAGGCCCTTTCCTGGGACAGAGAAACCCCTGACCCCCCCCGTCCTTCCACCTCTGCACCAGGTACTCAGGAACAGAGGTGTGTACGAGAGCATGAAGTACATCCAGCAGGAGAACTTCTGGATTGGCCCCAGCTCGGTAAGAGGCCCAGGCAGGGACAGCATCTCAGCAGGGAGCCTCTGGCCTCTGCCACCCCCAGCTGAGCAGGAAGGGGCTTGGCTTGCCTGGAAGCCCCCCTCATCAGGGGCCCCCAGGGGGAGACTCTTAACGGAGCAGCCAGGTCTGGACCCGAGCTCACTCCCCACCGCCCTCCGCCCCCAGATTGACTTGATCCATCTGGGAGCCAAGTTCTCACCCTGCATCCGGAAGGACCAGCAGATCGAGCAGCTGGTGCTGCGGGAGCGAGACCTGGAGCGGGACTCGGGCTGCTGTGTCCAGAATGACCACTCGGGCTGCATCCAGACGCTGCAGCAGGACTGCTCGGTGGGGGCAGAGGCCCTCCGACCCCTGCGAGCCCCACCCTGGTCCCCTGCACCATCTCCACTTGCCCCAGCCTGGGGGAGGGGCCCTTCAAGGGCAGTGTCTACGTGGCCTCTGTCCTTCCTCTACCCTCCCTGGCATCACACACCCCTGCACGCAGCTCAGCACAGGGAGGGTGCCAACCTGCCCAGCCCCAGAGCGGTGAAAGCTGGGTCTTGGGAGTGTCAGTGGGGGTGGGGGTCTGGGAGATGAGCCTGAGCCCTGGACAGCAGGGCAAGAGCCCCGGCCCTGGAGGGGCCCTTGCCCACTCTGATGGTGGTGACCTTGTCCTAGCCGTGACCAGCCTGCCTCCATCCTCCAGGAGACTTTGGCCACTTTTGTCAAGTGGCAGGATGATACGGGGCCCCCCATGGACAAGTCTGCGCTGGGCCAAAAGCGGACATCGGGGGCCGTGTGCAACCAGGACCCCAGGTACAGTCCCGGGAGACCCACAGCTGAGCTGAGGAGATGGGGCTGAGCATCATGTGGTCTGTGCCACCCACGGGGATGTTGGCCAGTGGGCATGGCAGGCCGGGGATGCCGTGGCCCCTCATTTTGCCCCCTCCGACCTCTGCTTCCAGAACCTGCGAGGAGCCGGCCTCCAGTGGTGCCCACATCTGGCCCGATGACATCACCAAGTGGCCGGTGAGTGTCCAGCGGGGAGAGTGGTCCAGGAAGGGTGGGGAGGGCCTGCGTGCTGCTGCACAGCCCTAGCCGCTGCCTGTGCCCCTCCTGGCAGATCTGCACGGAGCAGGCCAAGAGTAACCGCTCGGGCTTCCCGCACATGGACTGCCAGATTCGGGGCCGCCCCTGCTGCATCGGCACCAAGGGCAGGTGAGCTGGCCTGGGCCCTGGGCCCGGAGCCCCTGTGCTCCCCCTCTGTCACCCACCGCCCAGCTGGCGTTCTCCCTCCCCACTCGGGGGCCGTCCGTGGTGTGGGCAGGTTCCTGCAGAGGGGCACCGCGTCCTGCCAGTGGTGCCTGCTGCGGCCGGGCACTGGGCACTAGGCGGGGGCGGGCAGGACTCAGGGCCCTGGCGTTCGCCTTGCCTCCCTGTCCCCCAGCTGTGAGGTCACCACTCGGGAATACTGCGAGTTCGTGCACGGCTATTTCCACGAAGAGGCCACGCTCTGCTCCCAGGTGAGGTGGGGTCTGGTGGGGCCCTGGGCGCGAGCAGCCAGGTGCAGCAGCCAGGTGCAGCAGCCTGTATGCTCTCCTGCAGCGGGTATCTGGTCCTACCCCCTACATCGGGGCCTCGGACCCAGCGGGATCCTAGGCGCTGACTGCCGTGCTCTCACCCCCAGGTGCACTGCTTGGACAAGGTGTGTGGGCTGCTGCCCTTCCTCAATCCTGAGGTCCCAGATCAGTTCTACAGGCTCTGGCTGTCTCTGTTCCTCCACGCTGGGTAAGAGGTGCCTCGCTGCCCACCCCCCAGACCCCTGTGGTGCCCGCCCACCTGGACTCCCGGAGGAGGGGCCCCTGGGCCAGGGTGCAGCTGGCATGACCTGCCAGACCCCGCTGCTCCCGAAGTCGCTGGCTGGCAGACGGGGCGGGGGGCTGATGCCCAGTGTGTCCCCGCCCAGCGTGGTGCACTGCCTCGTGTCTGTGATCTTCCAAATGACCATCCTACGGGACCTGGAGAAGCTGGCCGGCTGGCACCGCATCGCCATCATCTTCATTCTCAGCGGCATCACCGGCAACCTTGCCAGTGCCATCTTCCTCCCGTACCGCGCGGAGGTAGGGACCCAGGATGCGGCAGGGAGGGCTAGCTCTACTGCTTCCACGCCTCCCACCTGGCTTGGCCTGAGGGACGCACAGCCCCTGCCACGTCAGGCTCAACAGCGGATGGACAGCTAAGCTGGGGGCTTCCCGGCCAATTCCTTAGTCCATCCCGAGGCGCGAGGGAGCAGTGATGCCCCTGGGTCACGTGTAGAGGTCACCTCCAGGAAGACCTGGACCCCGTCCCTCACTCTGCCTCTTTGCTTCATTTCTCTCCGCGACCATGACCACCGCCTGCAGCGCGTCCCATAGCTGTGAGTTGGGCCATATGAAGTTGCCCTCGTGCAACCGTTCTTGACCCAAAGAAATGGCAGTGTTTTGATCAGCCAGCCTCACGCTGTGGGCTTGTTCAGTGTCGGTCTGTCCCTCCCCACGTGCGCTGCCTGGAGCAGTCTGTCTTGCTTATGGCACTGGGCGTGCGCGTAGTAGGTGCTCAGTGTCGCAGAAAGGGTGGGTGGAACGAGCCCAGCTTTGTTCCAGCAGCTCCAGCTGCACCTCTTCTGCCCCCCGGCCGTCAGGTTCAGGGTCCCCACCCTGGGAGGGGCTCACGGAGAGGATGACCCAGGTCCTGGGGCTCCAGCCCGGCTGTGCCCAGGCCTCCCCACAGGCTCCCACGTGGCACCCGGAAGTGACCCTGTCCCCTCCCCATCCACCCACCGCAGGTGGGCCCGGCAGGGTCGCAGTTCGGCCTCCTGGCCTGCCTCTTCGTGGAGCTCTTCCAGAGCTGGCAGCTGCTGGAGCGGCCCTGGAAGGCCTTCCTGAACCTGTCAGCCATCGTGCTCTTCCTGTTCATCTGCGGCCTCCTGCCCTGGATCGACAACATCGCCCACATCTTTGGCTTCCTCAGCGGCCTGCTGCTGGCCTTCGCCTTCCTGCCCTACATCACCTTCGGCACGAGCGACAAGTACCGCAAGCGCGCCCTCATCCTCGTGTCGCTGCTGGTCTTCGCCGGCCTCTTCGCCTCGCTGGTCATCTGGCTCTACGTCTACCCCATCCACTGGCCCTGGATCGAGTACCTCACCTGCTTCCCCTTCACCAGCCACTTCTGCGAGAAGTACGAGCTGGACCAGGTGCTGCACTGACCACCTGCCTGGCGGGGCTGGCACGGCTGCTCCCACGCAGCGCTGAGGACATGGAGACTGTGCCCGGGCCAGGCTGCCTGCCTGCACAGCGCCCACCCCCGCTCCAGAGACCCTGTGGGGCCGGCCCTGCTCCCAGGAGCTCTGCCCCCAGGAGAGGCTGATTCTGCGGGAGACGGTCATCAAGGGCGGCTCCTTGGGGGACTGAGGGCCCCCTTCCCCAGGCCTGGGCTGGGGGACACTCCGAACATGTGTTTCTCTGCAGCTCAGGGCCCAGGCCCTGACATCACCCTGCTCCCCTGCTGTCAGGACCACTTCCTGGGGGGTGGGCTCCTTTCTTCCCAAGGTCCTGGGCTACTGCCCATCTCCCACCTCTGGCTCTGCTGGTACGTTCCCCCTCCCCGTTGCTGTGAGCCTGCCCTTCCTGGGGACCTGGCTGGGGTTCCCACCAGGTTCCCAGCCCTGCCTGGCCACGGCCCCTACCTGTTTCCCCTCCCATCTCTGCCCTGTGAATCCACGCCCTGCACTCATCCCTGGCCTGGTGAGCCTGCCCATGAGGCTCCGGGTCCAAACCTTCTGGGACAGGGTTTGGCGGTGGCCTGGGGCAGAGAAGGAGCAAAGAGACACAGACCGGCAATCCGAGAGCCTCCGCTGATCTCAGCAAACAGAGGCTGAACCTGCCCCGCACCCAGGCCCCCCAGCCCCTCCCAGCCCAGTCCCTTCCTTCAAGTCAGTGTTCTGCCTCCTGGGGCTGGACTGACGCCAGCCAGCCAACCATCCTTTGCCTCACTCCTGCCCAGGTGAGGGTAGGGCCACCCCAAGGACCTGTGTCCAGGGGTTGTCCAAGGTCAATCAGGCCTTTTTTTTTTTTTTTTTTTTTTTTTTTACCAGTTTATATTATGGTCCTAATTTTTTTTAAAGTAACGCTAACTTTGTATGGACGATGTCTGAAATGTATTAAATGATATTCTTTAAGAAAGTATCATCTTTTTTTTTTTTTTTTTTTTTTTAATTTGCTGTACGCGGGCCTCTCACTGCTGTGGCCTCTCCCATTGCGGAGCACAGGCTCCGGACGCGCAGGCTTAGCGGCCATGGCTCACGGGCCCAGCCGCTCCGCGGCATGTGGGATCTTCCCAGACCGGGGCACGAACCCACGTTCCCTGCACTGGTAGACGGACTCTCAACCACTGCGCCACCAGGGAAGCCCGAAAGTATCATCTTTTGACCTCCAGCCTCGCATAGAATAAAAACTGGAACTTTATTTTGGGAGTGGGGGGTGGCAGGGTCAGCCGTGAGGAGCTAGGGGGCAGGGGCTTGGCCCAAAGGGACAGTGGATGCCTGTGGGTCTTGTGGGAGATTTGGTTGGAGAAGAAGCCAGGTTGGGGTCACATGGAGGGGCTCAAGGGGGCCCTTGAGAAGGTGGTGTCAAATCTTTAGACCCCTGCGTTCCCCAAGCCCCATCAGGGGTCTGGCTGGGTGGAGGGGAGGGCCGTCCTGGCAGAAGCAGTGCGGTCCATTCCCTGCGCCCCCCAGCCCTTCATCCCACACCCCGTGGGACAGAAGACCCACAGTAACCGTGGGTGCCCAGGGTGGGTGGGTGGGGAAGCTGGGAGGTGGCCCCTGCCCTTCCCTGCTCCCGGCTGCCTCCATTCCAGGGATGAGGATGGGAAGGGGCAGCGCTGGGCCTGGGGGAATAAGGGCCCCCTGGGCACCCGGCTCCTTTGGTGAGGACGCTGAAGCAGGGCTGCAGGCCGCCTCCCACTGTCCCCAATTCACCCACCCAGCCACGTGTGGGCACAGTTTGGATGCAGGGGGTCCAGGAGGCCTCGCGTGGACAGACTGGAGGATACAGCACTCGTGCCCCAGCAGGGGAGCCTGGGCCGGGAGCAGCCGCCCCGCCCTCTCTTTATTTCACCCCCACCCCCCACCCCAGGACCCTCTGGGAATCACTGTCTCCCTTCAGACTGAGCTGAGCTGAGCGACAGCAGGGCAGAGAAGGGGACAGCGGGACTGGGTAGGAGCCCCCAGCCTGCCTCCCCACACCCCTGGCACCCGTCTGTGGGCTCCCCGGGGGCGGCCAGTTCAGCAGTCGGTGTGCCTGCGCGGGGAGGCGTGGCCCCGCAGGGAGCACTACATCTCCCGAAGGCGAGTGAGCCCACGGCACACGGGCCCACAGGGTGGAAGCCGAACCTCTGGTAGAAGGGCACCAGCCTGTCCTCGCACGTGAGCACGGCCAGGTGCACGCCCGGATGGCCGCCCAGGTGGTGCAGGTGGCGCCGGAGCAGGATGGAGCCCTTGCCCTGCCTCCGGAGGGGCAGTGCACGGCCAGCACGTGCAGGTGGGCCGTGTGGCCCTCGGGCCTGTGCAGTGTCAGCGACCCCTGGGGGCAAGAGACGGACACGAGTCCAGGTCACCTCTGTGGACACCTGCACCCCCAAACCACCCCCAACTGGGCCAAGGGCAGGTGCCCCTGAGTGCCTCTAATCAGGACCCCCCTCCTACCCAAGGAGACCCCAAATTGGGACCTACATTCCCAGCCCTATGGCGGTCCCTTCATGAGGGCCTTGAGACCGCAAAGGACTGGTCTTGCCCTGGAGAGGACCCACGTCTGTGCTCATCTCTTATCTCGGAGGAAGAGATCCCAGCCTCCAGGCTCCTCCCCCCACCTGGCTGCCTCTGTGAGCACAGGAGGAGCTGGCACCATCGGGCAGTGGCCTCTCCCCCGGAGGCCCTCCTGGGGCTGGGCATCTCTGCCCCCAGCCCCTTCCTCACCAGAGTGAGTCTCTCCTCAGCCCACAGGGAGCCGACGATGAAGGCCACGAGGCGGCCCTCCACGAACCAGTCCAGGGACAGCTCAGGACACAGGGCCAGGAAGTGCCGGACCTGGTCCAGGTTCAGGGGGCAGATGCCCGAGACAGAGATGAAGGCTGTGGAGCCGGCCCTGGTGATGACTCCGTGGTCACCGTGCCACAGGCCCACTGTCCACTGAGCATCTGCTCGGATGCTGGGGGTGGGCTCCCTCAGCCCCCAGCCCTCCCCCACAGGAAAGCAGAGGATTCAGGGCTGCTCTTCCCCCCACTTTGCTGAACACACATGTGCTCTTGCACATGCACAGAAACACCCAGAGTCAGATACTCTGGGGTCCCAACTGCCAAGGGCAGGAGACTCGAGGGTCTTCTCTCCAAGGGCAACAGCGACAGAGTTCAGCAGCGTCCTGGATCCTGTTGGGGGGTTACCCACCCTTTCACTCAATCTCAGACACGCCAGGAGCATCCTCTGGGGTGAGGCAGCAAAACTCGGTGGGGAGTGTGTGGCGCCGCTGGTGACTTGGGGACTCTGGGATCCCAGGTGGCAGGCGCAGAGCCACAGGCTTCAGGTAGTGGATGCTCTGAGTGGACCTCCTGGCCGCTGCTGCTACCCTGGGGGGCCCCAGCTTCAGAAGTGGCCTCTGTGATGAGGAGGGCCCCTCTGCACCTGTTGAGGAGGAGCAACGGTCAGGGGTCTGGTCCTCAACTCCCGGGGGGCCGTCCAGGATGATGGTGCATCTTGCCTCTTTTGTAGGGGACCTGGAGTGGGGAGTCTGGGGGCTGGGGTGGAGCGGGCAAGCAGGGCGTGGACACTTCCTGCCCTGTCCCTGCTCACTGGGTCCCCGGGTCACTGTTTGTCTCTTTCCCTGACCGTCTGCTGATGTGCACTTCTTAGAGGTGGCCGTCCCTCCCTTACAAAGCCCCACGTCCTGCACGTCGCCCTGCCCTCCCTCCTCCACCTTCTCTCCCCACATCTCCAAGCCCCAAGCAGGGGACTCCCGTTCTTGAATTCTGGGAGCCCAGGGGCAGGGGTCCCACTTATCAGGACTGTGGGGCAGGGGCTCCAATGTTCCCCCCACAGAGCCAATCACCCCAGAGGCCATCCACAGGCTCAGGACCAGAAAAATCCAGACTCCTGGGTACACGGCTGTTGCAGCAAGTGTGGCCGGGCAGCACGTGACGTTGATCTCAGAGATTTCTAATCCCCACCCGCCCCGCCTCCCTTTTACAGGAAGGTCGAAGTCAGCAGGGCTCCGGCCACCCTGCGCCTTGTCCCTGCGTGCTGAGGGTGAAACCTCAGATGGCACACGGTTGCAGAGGATTACAGTGGCTGGCTGAGGCCCCAGAATTTTGGGGGAAGAGCACGGGGCTAAACTCATGGGTCCACTCTAATCCCTGCCTTGGCGCCAACTGGCTGGCACAGGCATTCACCCTCTGTCCCCTGGAAGCCTGGGCAAGCCCAGCTCTGAGGGTCCTTCCAGCTCTGGCAGCCTGAGTGTGCTATCATTTAGAGCACTTGCCTGGTGGCCAATCAGAACTGCAGACCGAGAGGGGAGGGGACAGTCCGGGTGCTGGATGTAAAGTCAACGTCATCAAATGTCCCGGTGTGGGGACGGCTCAGGGGCTTCCCTCCAGACCCCTGTTCGTAGGGTTTTGCTCTTTGTGCCACAGTCTCCCTCCAGCACCAGCTCCCTTGAGAGGGTCCTGCGACCACGGCTCCCCCAGCTCTGACTCTGCTCACCCTGCCCCCACTCTGCACTTCTTCTCCCCTTTAGGGGTCCCACTGTCACCCGCTCCAGCCTGGTCTCCTTTGGGGCCTCCTAGCCCGCCAGACAGGGATACACACATCTGGGCATCAGCTGTGGCTGGCTGCCAGGTCTCTCCTACAGGCTCTGTAGTCCCAGGCAAGTCCTGGGCTATGGCTGGGCTCCTGCTCCAGGGCTCCAGAACATTCTATGACAATTGGAGGCAGGTTGTCCAGGGCACATGGTGAACCCCAGAGGGCCATGGGACCTGACTGCCCACCTGCCCCAGCAGAGCCTGGCCTCTGATCCAGCTGACATAGCGGTGGGATGACGGGTACAGACTTGGCTGTCCTCACGATGGAGCGGACATCTGAGTCACAGTATGGGAAGAACGTTCTGAGGGACCACGTGTCCCCACAGGGAAGCTGGGGCCCAAGCTTGGGGATGTTCTCTCTGGGTTGGAGGGGGGAACCATTAACAGGAAGAAAGATGAGGAAATGAGCAGACCCAGGATCAGGACACACCCCAGAACCCAAGGAGGGGGTGGCCAGCAGCATCTCATGCAGCCCAGAGTGGAGAAAAGATCTTAGATTCCCCTAACAAGGAGGCTTCTGATGGCCGTTAAGAGTCCTTCCAGGGCTCCCCTGGTGGCGCAGTGGTTGAGAGTCCGCCTGCCGATGCAGGGGACGCAGGTTTGTGCCCTGGTCCGGGAAGATCCCACATGCCGCGGAGCGGCTGGGCCCGTGAGCCACGGCCGCTGAGCCTGCGCGTCCAGAGCCTGTGCTCCGCAACGGGAGAGGCCACAACAGTGAGAGGCCCGGGTACCGCAAAAAAAAAAAAAGTCCTTCCAGGACAGAGGGGTGGGGTGGGTGGGGACCAGATGCAGTGTTTTGGGGGGCCCCGAAACACTCTGATGATGCCTCTTGAGACCCCAGTTTTCCCAGCAGAGCAACCAAAAGGCCTGGACAGGCAGGGAAGGCAGCCCTCAGTTCAGGCACTTGGGCAACTAGTTGCATTTTCTGGTGGTTTTGAGGGTGGCATCCTTTTCTCATTCCTCCCCTGCACTTAAGATAGGCTCTGCACACCTGGCATGGGGCACATTTTGCCTAATCATAGTTACTTTTCCAACCATAATCTGTCACTAGCAGGTTCCCCAGGGGACAGAGGCTGAGATGGAGAATTGTGTGCAGGAGTTTCACTGGGCGAGCTCCCGGGAGCGTATAAACCTCTGGAAAACAGAAATTGTATTGAACGTGTGGCGATGTGCTAGATACGGAGACTAGGAGCCTATCAACTAGGTGGCGATTCCGTTGAGGAGGATGACACTTAGCTCGTTGATTTGCTGTGGATTTATTTTGAAGCCCCCTTTGCATAGATAGGCTGACATCACTGCAGGGCTGAATGTGGCCCCGTCCTTATTTAGGGTTCAAAATCTGCCATATTACACAGGCAGTTTCCTCAGCAACTTTCCAGACCTTTCTGCAACGGAGGTGTCAAAAGCAGGAAGAGTTCGCCACCTCCTGGACAAAGAAGGGACCTACGGCTTCCCGAGCATCTGGAGCCCGGCTCTCCAACGGAAAGATCCTGTGAGCCGCACATGTGATTTTCAATTTTCTAGTAGCCACACGAGAAAAAACCAAAAGAAACAGGTTAATTTGATTTTAAAAAAATATTGTATTTAACCCAATATATATAAAGTTATTGTCATTTCAACAAGGAATCAATATAAAAATTATTAGACATGTTTCATACTCTGGGTTTTTTTTTCTTTTATACACTGAGTCTTCATAATCCAGTGTCAATTCAGACCAGCTACATCTCAAGTGCTCAAGACCCAGAGGTGGTTAGGGGCCACGGCAGTGGGCAGCCCAGATCTAGAAACTGAAGTTTAAGGAGAGCAATGGTGGGGGGAGGCACATGTGTATGTGTGTGCACGTGTGTGTATACATGTGTATATGTACGTATGTGCACGTGGGGTGAATGTGCCTGTGTAGGGTGTGTGTCTAGGACAAATGGAGAACTTGGGACTTGAGCAAAGACAGAGGTGTCCCAGAGACCTGTTGGCACCATCGGGACCTTTGAGAGAAGTTGCTTTGTTTTGTTCAATCATTCAACAAAATTTTTAAAAAATTGACATATAGTTGATTTACAATGTTGTGTTAATTTCTACTGTATAGCAAAGTGATTCAGTTATACATATATATACAGTCTTTTTCATATATTTTCCGTTATGGTTTATCACAGGATATTGAATATAGTTCCTTGGGCTGTGCAGTAGGACCTTGTTGTTTATCCATTCTATATATAATAGTTTGCATCTGCTAACCCCAAACTCCTAATCCATCCCTCCCCCACCCCCTTCCCCTCTGACAACCGCAAGTCTGTTTTCTATGTCTGTGAGTCTTTTTCTCAACAAAAATCTTTTGAGTACCTACTATGAATCAGAACTATGCTGGATGCTGGAATACAAAGGTACAAAGAAGATACGGTCCCACAGGAGAGACAGGCATGCAAATAAATGGTTGTAATAGAGGGAAATAAATGCAATCAGACAGGTATGACCAGGTAAGTGGGGGAATAAGTGGGGAAAATAGGGCTCTTGGAAGACTTCATAGATAAGAAGCCCCAAGCTGGGGCTTCCCTGGTGGCGCAGTGGTTAAGAGTACGCCTGCCAATGTAGGACACACGGGTTTGAGCCCTGGTCCGGGAAGATCCCACATGCTGCGGAGCAATAAAGCCCATGCACCACAACTGCTGAGCCTGCGCTCTAGAGCCCGCAAGCCACAAGTACTGGAGCCCATGCTCCGCATCAAGAGAAGCCACTGCAATGAGAAGGCTGCACACCGCAATGAAGAGTAGCCCCTGCTCTCAGCAACTAGAGAAGGCCCGTGCGCAGCAACAAAGATGCAACTCAGCCATAAATAAATAAATAGATAGATAGATAGATAGATAGAATAAAAAGAAGCCCCAAGCTGAGTATTGTAAGATGAAAAGGAGTTCTTTAGGTAAAACCATGGGTTGAAGTAGAGGAATAAAAAATTACAAGCAGGGCTGCCCTGGTGGAGCAGTGGTTGAGAGTCTGCCTGCCGATGCAGGGGACATGGCATGGGTTCGTGCCCTGGTCTGGGAAGATCCCACATGCCACGGAGCGGCTGGGCCCGTGAGCCATGGCCGCTGAGCCTGCACGTCCGGAGCCTGTGCTCCGCCACGGGAGAGGCCACAACAGTGAGAGGGCCGTGTACCCCCCCCCCAAAAAAAAGAAAAAAAAGAAAAAATTACAAGCAGATGGTGAAGCAAGTGCAAAGGCATGGTGGCCCCAAAACGTTGGGATCCTGGCGTGAGCAGCTGAGGCCAGAGCGTGGACTGTGTGCACTGGGGTGCAGACCTGGAAGGCGGGGTGGGAGGTAGGTGGAAGGAACCAATTCATGAAGGGGCCCTTGTGCCATTCTCTGGTGGACCATGGAAAGCCACAGAAAGACGCTAAACAAAGAAGTCGAATGATCATGTTTATATTTTCAATCTCCTGGGAACAAGGTGGTGAGGCGACTACAGCAATGGCGTAGGCAAGGGATGGAGATGAATTAATAGCAGCAGGTAACGTTGATCAAGCGCCTACATTGTGCAGACAGGTGCAAAGCACCTCCCATTCATCATGTCAGTTAAATTCTCAATAGCCCTATCTAGTAGGTACTGTTATTATTCCCATTTTACAGAAAGGAAACCAAGGCTCAGAGAAGTAAAATAAGCTGCCCAAGGTCACATAGTGAGTCAGCGGCAGCACAAGCTTCAAACCCACGTTCATCTAACGGCAGAACCCCAGCCTTAGCCACTGGACCATCCCATCACCACTCCCGCACCAGCCCCCGTGGAGCTGCCCTCCGCGGAGCAGCTCTGGATTTGGGGTTGTGAAAAGGGGGTAGAGGGACCATGACCTGGGCTTTGATGACTTACGGAGCTCAATATCGAGGGTTGACCCTCAGGTGGCCAACTTGGTACCCAGGTAAGTGACCCTGCCATCAACCTGGATGAGGACTCTGGGAAAAGGAAGGGGCCTGGGGAGAAGATGCCACTTGGCACCCGTGGCTGGTCATCCAGGAAACACCCACGTGTTGGTGCTGGGTTGTCGGTGGTGAAGAGCATGGCCTGATTAAGCCACTGCAGCCCTGTTGTTCTGCAAGCTGGTCTGGTGGATTTGCTGTCTTTGGCCCCTGTATCCTCAAGGAGGAGGGAAGCAGGATGAGCCTGCCAAGCCTGGGCTCTCACTATGGCTCAGCCTTCCCACTGTTGCCCTCAGCACAAAGTGTTTCACGCAGTGGATTGCAACCCATCCTCAGAGTCAGGAGTGAGAATGGCCAAAGGCCAGCTGGTCTGGGTCCTGATTCTGACGGTACTGCAGGGTGACCTTGGGCAGACCCCACACTTGGTTCTCCCAGGGCATCAACGCAAGGAGAGGTGAGGCTCCAGGGACAAGAAGAGCCCCTTTAACTCCAGGAGCCCGTGATTCTAGAGCAACACACAGCTGGATCTCAGAGGCGTTTCTCCAGCCAGCCACTGAGGTGTGGGAGGACTCTCCAGGGCAGCTCCCCTCCTGTCCCACTTTCTGAACTAAAGCCCCCAGTGCTGAAGCCAGCCTAGAGCCCCCAAACACTCATTGCAGGGTAGAAGGACCTCTCTGAGCCCGTCTGAATTTGCTCCTACACGGAGGTTTGGAGAGGCCGGGCAGGGTAAGGCATCCCCAGCGGGCGGTGTGGGGCCCGTGCACACTTCATGCATGGGTCTGGAGAGGCAGCCAGTGGCCAGTTAAGATAGGGACAAGACACGGCCTGCTTCCCAGAGATCAGCTCACTTTGCTGTCAGCTCTGCTGCCTCCTGCACCTGGCCAGCTCCTTAGCAAGGGGAGTGGCCAGGCTAGCTCAGTTTCTGGCAGGCACATTTGTAAATAAGCAAAATTCTCCCAAGAAGCATCTCTATTCGCCAAGAAGGGCTAGGTGTTGGGGCCATGAGAGAAGGGGGTTTCTCCATTGGGGAATAAAGGGTTTTTTTCATTCAACAATTACGAAAATAAAAATCAGGCAGTCGCTTCCATCCAGGCTCACCCCACTCGCCAGCCTGGATGTAAAGAGACACTGTCTGGGGGTTTGGGGTTTGGGAAGGAGTCAAGACTCAAACCTCGTCCAGGGCATCTCAGGTCTGAGTGAGGGCACTGAAGGTCACCACGAGGTGGGGAGGAATGCACTGAGCCTCTCTCTGTAAAAGGGCTCGGATGAAGCTCAAGCTGGGGGTGATAGAAAGGGCTTTGAGGGACTTCCCTGGTGGTC